TTTTCGCCTACCCTGCACTGCGGCAGTGATGCAGGTATTTATGAGGGCAAGTCGAGTTAGTTCAGTCGGTCACTTTCATTTTGGCAGGTTGCTATGCGGTATACAGATTGCGGTCCGGTGAGCACCAGCCGACACCCATATTTGGGTTGAAGGGGTCCTGTGAGTACAGCCTTTGTGCCTTGCGGCATGGGGCGGGGAAAACGGACTGCCTTCGGGACGGCCCTGTTTAGGTCCTCTCTTTGAGCCTCGCGGCTTGGGGGATGGGGCTACAGGGTTGTCTTGCAATGGCTAGCCGGCCGGATGGTAGCCCCTGCAGTGGGCTCCCACCCGGGGCAGGGTGGCTCGCCCTATTGACATAGGTAAGGGAGGGGTCCTTGACCTCTGGCCTTGACCATAACGCAATTCTGTTTTGCCCTTGCCGTTGGTTCCAGCTAAAGTTGTCCGTTAATAAAGTGGCCCTATAGTTAAACCCAACACTTGTGTCTGCCTCATTATTTCTGGCTTGGGGGGCAAACAAATGGATATATAATGCTTCCTTGCTCTTTTGCATGCAGCAAAAAGCTCTCTCCACCTGCAAAAGGGATCTTGCTTAAGGACATCAATCAAAATTGCTTTTCACATTCTGCAAGGAATGGCCTTTTCCAGAGATGACCCACTGGTTCATGTAAACGCATATTACCTACTCCAATTGGCAGAAGCTGCAGCTTTCCAGGTATTCTGATAGAGACCTTTTTTTTTTTTTTTTGCTTAGTCCTGCTACCCAAGATATTTTAAACCAGAGTTGCCTGGAGTTGGACCCGGGACCTTTTTACTGGCAAAGAATGAACTCCGGATTGAGTGAACACGCCCCCATATTACAATTGCTGCAATTCCAACTGTTTTAAGGTGCTTAGGAAGAGTAACATTTGAAATCTAGTATAATAGAATCATAGAGTTGGAAGGGGTCTCCAGGGTCATCTAGTCCAACCCCCTGCACAAGGCAGGAAATTCACAAATACCTCCCCGTCACACACACCCTGTAACCCCTGCTCTATGCCCAGAAGATGATAAAAAAACCTCCAGGATCCCCAGCCAAATTGGCCTGGAGAAAAATTGCTTCCTGATCCCAAAGTGGCGGTCAGCATTTCCCTGGGCATGTAAGAGAGGACCATGAGAACTAAGCACTGATGGAACCCTTCCTGCCCTCTCTCTCATGATCTGCCTAAGTTCACAGAATCAGCATCGCTGCCAGATGGCCCTCTAGCCTCTGCTTAAAAACGTCCCAAGAAGGAGAGTCCATCACCTCCCCAGGAAGCCTGTTCCACTGAGGAACCACTCTGCCAGTTTGGTGTAGTGGTTAAGTGTGCGGACTCTAATCTGGGAGAACCGGGTTTGATTCCCCCCTCCTCCACTTGCACCTGCTGATGTGACCTTGGGTCAGTCACAAGCTCTGGCACAGCTGTCCTTGAAAGAGCAGTTTGTGTCAGAGTTCTCTCAGCCCCACCCACCTCACAGGGTGTCTGTTGTGGGGAGGGGAAGGGAAAGGAGTTTGTAAGCCGCTCTGAGACTCCAAGTGAAGGGCGGGGTATAAATCCAATCTCCTCCTCCTCCTCCTCCTCCTCCTCCTAATTAAGAACCTTGTGCACAATGTATATGCAATGAGGCATGGGAAGAGGTGTGGATGATGGGCGCCATTCTCAGTGGTAGGGTTGCCAAATCGTTTTTACCTTGCAACGGGGGGCTCCCGTTCGGCGTCCTCAGCACGCGTGCAAAGCCTGCGCGCACCACATACACGTCAGCCGGATGTGACGTGATGACGCCGGGCACGCTGGGGCGGGGCCACAGCCATTTGAGGGGAAAACATAGAGTTTTCCCCTCAAATGGCTGTGGCCCCGCCCCCAGCGTGCCCGGCGTCATCACGTCACATCCGGCTGACGTGCACGCCGGGGTGGGGTTTCCCCTGGGGCCCGATTCCGCGGTGGTGGAAATCGGGCCTCCAAAGCGGGGGGAAATCTACCCCCCCGGGGGGATTTGGCAGCCCTACTCAGTGGCAAAGCCATAAAGTCATAGTGGAGTGCAGGGCCGGTGTCAACATATCCTGAGATTGGGCAACTGCTAAGGTCCCAGTTTCCTGGTGGGGCCCACTGCCACTGCTTTCCACCCGCTCAACTCCCCTGCTTCCATCAACTTGTTGTGAGCCCTCCCGCCACCCACACTCCTAGATGCATGTACTGCCCAACATTGTTAGGGAAGGGTGGGTGAGCACTGGGAGGACTGGAAAATAAGCAAGTGAGTGGGAGGAGGACAGATGGTTAGGTAGTGGGGGAGGAGAATGAAGGCAGGTGGACCGGGAGGTTGAGTGGCAGGATACAGTGGCAAGCAGAGGAGGGGAAGGGGCCCCCTGGAACTTTCTGCCCAGGCCTCACTGAAATCTGGAACTGGCCCTGCTGGAGTGTCATCTGAGAGTGAGACTTCTAATGCCCGACCAATGCTCCCTCTAAGCTGTGGAGTCTTGTGAGCAAAAATTCTACTTTGTGAGTTGCTGGCATTAAAGTTGTGAGCGAGCGATTTGGCTGCTCCATAAATTAGTTTTCTCTGGAGCCATCCTTCCTGAGCTAAGACAGAAATGTGTGATAAAAAGTAAAGGTAAAGGTTCCCTTGCTCGAAAGCCGGTCGAATCCGACTCTAGGGTTGTGGTGCTCATCTCTATTTCAAAGCCAAAGAGCCAGCGCTGTCCGAAGACGTTTCCATGGTCATGTGGCCGGCATGACTAAACACCAAGGCTCACGGAACGCTGTTACCTTCCCACCGAAGTGGTACCTATTTATCTAGTTGCAATTTCTTGCTTTCGAACTGCTAGGTTGGCAGGAGCTGGAACTAGAGATGGGCGCTCACTATGTCATGCGGCACCCGGGTCTCAAACTGCTGAACTACTGAACTTCCACAGCCTGCAGTTCAGCGTCTTAACCACTTGAGCCACCGCAACTCCTAGAAATGTGTGAACCAGAGGCTAAAAATCCATGAGCTAGCTCACACTAACGCAGCTTAGAGGGAGCACTGTGCCCAACCCTTATCTATGTCTCTGACTATTGCTGGCTTCTACTACCAATTAATTTTAATATAGTAAAAGTTATAAATGAAAAGAGAAATAATAAAACTAGGGTGGTTTTTCCCCCCTCCAGGATGCTGACAGTATTAGAATTGCTCTAATGTAGCCTTTAGACATTCGAATTATGCTCAGATCTGGCATTTTGAAAAGTAATACTGCTCGAGAGCATTGTCATAAGCCCGTATGTAGTTTACTGTCACTAGGGAAAATGTAATACATTTCTGAGAGGTATAATGATTTCATTTTGCTCTCTCGCTGGCCTTTCTATTTAAATACAGAGAAAAGCACAGTTGACTTATTTTAGCACAGAGTCTAATTTATCGGAGTTGGTTGTCATGGCTGGAGTAAAATATCCCAACAGTATTGGTCAGCATTGTGCATCAGAAGGGTGATTCATATGTTACCAGACAACCATGCAAACTGCTTCTGCATGACGGGTCACTTCCATAACATCTGTAAAGTGGAATCACACTGAGTGGGTGCAAAGTTTGGTTTCTGAGCAGGAGCAAGAGACACATATTGCTTCCTCCTACTTCATTGCCAATTGGGTCCAAGCTGACCCCATTGCCCCAGGGGTATAGCTTGGACCCAGTTGGTGGTGGTGTGAAGAGCAGAAGATTTGGGGACTGAGTGAGCCCCAGCTGTGCATCAATACCCTCCTTGTTGTGTTACCATAAGTAGGGATGGGCATGAACCAACTCACAAACATAAATTCGTGATTAATTTTGGCCAGTCTGTGGTTTGCAAACCGAAGTTCGTAAACTGAAGAGCCACCATGAACTTCCACGAATTTTAAGGCGTGTGAAGCCATTTACACCCCTGCTTTCTGCTCCTCACAAAAAAAACAAAACAAAAGCTGTGTGGTGGGGAACAAAAAGCAAGGGTTTAAATGGTTCCAAGCCATTTAATTAATTATTTAATTAATTATGTCCTGTCCTCCCCTTTGAACCCCTGCTTTCTGCTCTCCACTGCTTTCCATGAACCAACCTCCCAGTTTGTATTGTTTCGTTGTTCGGCCATGAACAATGAACCAAAGCAAGTCACAAAAAGGAGGTTCATGCCCATCCCTAACTCTAAGCAACCACTTATGTGGTTTGGACACAGAGCCATCCCTTCAGGGGCCCTTCTCACAGGAGGAGCTCACTGACATGTATCTTTACCCCTTGATGACTTCAGAACTCCATGATTTGAATATGCAGACCAGCCATTATAGACCTAACATCACAGACACTGTGATACATCACTGTTTACTGTTGTTCATCACCCTGAGCCCTGTGTATTCAGGGAAGGGCGGTCTATAAATTTAAAGTATAAATAAATAAATACATAAAAATAATAAAACTGCTTTATATCTCCTGAAATGCAATACTTTTCAATGAACTCGATTCAAAATCAAGGGATGGGTAATCAAATGATAGATAAGAGCCAGTGCTCATAGTCTCTCTGTTGTGTGAACTCAGTGCATGTGAACATAAGAAGAGCCCTGCTGGATCAGACCAGTGGTCCATCTACTCCAGCATCCTCTCTCACACAGTAGCCAACCAGTTTTTTTTTTTTTTTTTGTAGGGCATAGAGGCTGAGTCCTTTCCCTAATGTTTCCTCCTGGCACTGGGATTCAGAGGTTGACTGCCTCTAAATGTGCAGGTTATCTTTAATCACCATGGCAAATAGCCACCGATAGACCTCTCCTCCATGAATTTGTCCAATCCCCTCTTAATGCTGTCTATGTTTGTGGCCATCACTACATGCTCTTGCAGCAAACTGCACATTTGAATCACTCCTTGTGGCACTCATCAATGAAGTTGCTCCAGTTTATGATTCCACTTACTTTCCATGTTTATCAGTTTCTGAACACGTTCAACAGTATGGCAGAAACATGGGTCAATAGAGCAGCTCAGCCAGTTTGACTCACCTGTCAGAGATCTGGTGGTGGCACTCTCATAGAGAGGGACTCCCTCCCCAGCGTTGTTAAAAGCTTTCAAAGATATGACATAGTGGGAACTCGGTTCTGTAGAGAAAGCAAACGTGACACCATCTGAGTTAATGTTTTGAAGCAGATTTTGGCAACAATCGTCTGCGCATCTGCAGGATCAAAGGCAATTCTAAAAAAATAATCATATTTAGGACTACCATGTCCCCAATCAATCCCCTTGGAAGATGAAAGAGAACACATTGATTACAAGCAACTAGAGTTGCCAGCTCTGGGTTGGGAAATACCTGGAAATTTCGGGCAAGGGGCTAGAGGAGGCTGGGGTCTGGAGAGGGGGAACTTCAATTGGGAACAATGCCATAGACTCCAAATTCCAAAGCACCCAATTTTCTCTAGGTGGACTGATCTCTTGTAGACAACCAGAAAAAAAAAAGACGGAACAGCACAGAATCCCTGTCTTTGTTCATTTATGCTTATTTTTCGCTCCTTTAGCAACTAAGTAGAGGTGGCAACTAAGTAGAGGTAAAGGAGCAAGGACGATTGACTGCTGAAAGAGAAATAACAAAAGCATAAAGACAAACAAAAGGAGGAGAAAGGTAGTGTCAGACCCCCCAGTCCAGTTACTCTCAACAACTCTCTCTTGGCAGTGATAAGTTTGGTGAGCCGGTGAACCAGTTCGGTGTCGTGGTTAAGTGCACGGACTCTAACCTGGGAGAACCGGGTTTGATTCCCCACTCCTCCACTCGCACCTGGCTGGATGACCTTGGGCAAGCCGTAGTTCTGATAAGAGCTGTCCTTGAAAAAGAGCAGTTTCTGTCAGAGCTCTCTCAGTCCCACCTACCTCACAGGGTGTCTGTTGTGGGGAGGGGAAGGGATAGGAGTTTGTAAGCCACTCTGAGACACCTTTGGGTAGTGAAGGGTGGGGTATAAATCCAATCTCTTCTTATTCTTTATTGAGATATATATATGCAAGATCCAAAAAGTCACTGTGTTAGAACTGAAGACTTTTGGCGGGTACAAGCTTCATATAGATAATTCGAATGAAAGCCCCTTCCTTCCCCAAGCATACGTCGCATTCATACCATGCCTAACGTTGCCATCCCAACTAAGTGAAAGATATATGTCTTGGTTATCTGCAGCTCAAGCTGGCACAGAGAAGCTCTCAAGGACACCTTCCCCTGGGAAAGGGAAAGGAGGTGCGACTTGTGAAGAAAGTTATGTCTTCTAGAAGCAATGGTCCCATTCTCTCATTCATTTACTCAACCCCCCTCCCCTTAGGAATTCCCTCCCCCCAATAACTATGGCAAGCAAAGCAAGCAAAGCATAGCATGGTTTGACCAGTGGCCAGGAACTCTACAGCCCCCCCCCCAAAAAAAAACAGCTCTCTCTGTTTCTGTTAGGTTGTAGGAGTCAGAATTCTTAAAAGCAGGGCTATTTTGGGGCAGGAACGCACAGGAACAGAGTTGGCCATGCCCAGCAGGAACTCATTAGCATAATAAGCCACACCCAACATCAGAAACTCATTAGGATTGGCTATATTAGGGGTGTGTGGCCTAACATGCAAAGGAGTTGCTACAAAAACAGGCCCTGGCTTTGGACAACAAACAAGGTAAACAGAATAAGCATCAAAAGGTGGGTGTGGCCGGATGACCACACTTCTGGTAACATGTGGGTGCAGCCTAATAGGCTATGAGTGGTGCTGTCAAGGGTGTGGCCCAATATGCTAATGAGTTTCTGCTGTTGGGTGTGGCCTATTATGCTAATGAGTTCCTGCTGGGCTTTTTCTACAAAAAAAGCCCTGCTTAAAAGTTAGAACTTGGCTATGTGCTGCTTCTTTTCCCGTCTCTAGCCAGCCTCTTAAATGCTGCTTAGACCAAGGGTCCCCAACCTTTTTGAGCCCGCAGGCGCCTGTGGAATTCTGACATGCTGTGGTAGACACAGAAAATGGCAGCTGCAGAAGGCAGAGTCACGAAATGGCTGCCACAGCTTAACTTCAGTCACACAGTGAAGAGAAGAAGAGACTGGATTTATACCCCACCCTTCACTCGGAGTCCCAGAGCGGCTTACAAACTCCATTCCCTTTCCCTCCCCACAACAGACACCCTGTGAGGTAGGCAGGGCTGAGAGAGCTCTTTCCAGAACTGTCCTTGAGAAAACGGCTGACAGAACTATGGCTTGCCCAAGGTCATCCAGCAGCTGCAAGTGGAGGAGAGGGGAATCAAACCCGGTTCTCCCAGATTAGAGTCTGTGCACTTAACCACTACACCACACTGGCTGTCGTGCTATGGGGACAGCTGCTGCCAAAACAACCTTTTAAAAATCTGCACAAGCAATCCAATGGCCAATCAGAAGCCTTCCTGGGTCAAAGCCCCACATGGCCCCACTCACTTTCTAAAAACACTTGGTGAGTGCTAGGAAAGATGTTGGCAGCCCCTAAGAGGACTATGTTTGGGACCATTTCAATAAAAGAGGTGCCTGTTTCTTTCCAATCCTGCAGTACACATGCTATATCACTGAACCCATACTGTCCTTCAACTATGGTTAATTGCTGCTTTTCCTCCTGAATGATGGGTTTGCCAACCTCCAGGTGGGACCTTGAGATCTCCTGGGAATATACCTGATCTTCACACTTCTGAAGTCAGTTGACTTGGAGGAAACAGCTGCTTTGAAGGGTGGACTATATGGCGTTACACCCTCCTGAGGTCTATATCCTCTCTAAACGCTACCTTCCTCACTCTCTCCTCACCCAAATTCTCAACCCGGAGAAGGCAACCCTACCAAGCCTCTAGTAATTTATTCGGAAAAGGAGATGTATTCATAATGGCCATTTTAAAACTTTCCATCTTACTGAGAGCATTTCAGCTGCCTAAATAATATGGAATCCTTTGACTTGATTCCCAGTTGCGGCATATTTCATTACTGTGTAGCAGAAGAAAGGTTTGTAATGTACAAAGCATTGCACTGTATTGTCAAGGGATTCAGGCCCACATCTAGAAAAAGAATATTTGTGCTGTTTGACTGCCACTGGATTGTGAGTTTTCCTTTTCACAATATTTTATCTGTTCGAAGATGAGCTGAATTCATTTAATGACTCATCCGACGTGTGAAATACACATATGCGGAGGCTGATTCAGTCAACAGTTCCTCTAAATCTCACTGCGTTCCATGGAAGAGGTAAGCACGCGCTTAAATCTCCTTGGAGTTGCCAACCTCCAGGTGGGACCTGGTGATCTCCTAGAATTACAGCTGCTCTCCAGATTTTTAAATTTATTTTTGTTCACAATTGAAATACATAGTACATAAGTAAATAACATTTTAAAACAGTGAAACAACATTTTTGAGCTGCTCTCCAGATGACAGAGATCAGTTCCCCTGGAGTAAAAGGCTGCTTTGGAGGGTGGCCTCTATGGCACTATACCCTCCACCCCAACCCTGCCTTCCCCAGCTTCCATCCCCCAAATCTCCAGGTACTGTTGCGGGCCAGCCTTCTTTAGCTGAGGATCACTCAGCTGATGCTGATAACATACCCTGTCAGCACCTCTGAGACTCAACCAGCTGATGCTGTCAATGACCCTGCGATGGCGGAGGCAGGTCCTAGTGCCCCAGTTGCCGAGGACAGCACGCACTCCAGCCCCATGAGCACTGGGAACACGGAAGAGGCAACCTGGAGAGGCAGCATCTCAACAACCCAAGATCTTGGGGAAACTTTACAGGCTACCTCTCCTCCTCTTTCCCCAGAGCCGGGGGAATGCAGGAAGAGCAGGTGCACTTGGAGCTCCGCGAGAGGAGGCGGAGCACATGCCTCGCTGCCCAGTGACTGCCAAATCAAGAAGAACACCTGGGGTTTATGAGCCAAATGGATGGCTCGCGCTCTCTCTCTCCCAAGCAAGGAGACCCAGCTGTGAGCTGCCAATAAAGGACAGGGCTTTAGAGGGGTAAGGCGTGAGAGCAACTAAACACCTTTCTGGAAACAGGCCACCACACTACCCGGACCTGTTCCTGTCTGCAACTCCTGAACCTTTGGCTTCGATCCCGGACCTGCTTGACTACGCCTGCTTCTTGGACCCTCGGCTGACTTCCCCTGTGTATGACTCTTGGACTGAACGCTCAACTTTGCGTTTCTAGTTAGTGATTCTGTCTCGTCCCCTTGGTCTTGGTTGAGTCTGGTCTGACCCAGGACAGGTACCTCCCAACTCAGAGCTGGAAATCCTCTATTAAATATATGTTCCATGTATCACTGTGACTTTTAAACATCCTAAATAGGGTGTAAAACCCCCAGATACGGTTGCCAGCTCCAGGTTGAGAAATACCTGGGGATTTTGGGGGTGGAGCCTGTGGAGGGCGGGGTTTGGGGAAGGAAGGAACTTCCAAGGGGTATAGTGCCCTAAACTTCACCTTCCAAAAGAGCTACTTTCTCCAGGTAAACTGATCTCCGTCACCTGGAGATCACTTGTAATCCCAGGAGATCTCCTGCCACCACAAATTACAAATTATGTGAAATCGTAAGAGAAGTTGAACAACCAACACAGTGATATAATTCAACCAATACAAACTATACAGACAACCGTGATACATAATTACTAAGATATTATTCTATGAAAACTTTTATGTATTTACTATAAAGATTTTTTAACATTAATAGATTTTCACAATACATATAATCAGGGCTATTTTGGGTCAGGAACGCACAGGAATGGAGTTCCGGCTGGCTCCCAAGTTGGCCACGCCCAGCAGGAACTCATTAGCATAATAGGCCACACCCAAAAGCAGAAACTCATTAGGACTGGCTACATTAGGGGTGTGTGGCCTAACATGCAAAGGAGTTCCTGCTACAAAAAAGCCCTGGGTTTTGACAACAAACAAGGTAAACAGAATAACAAGCAAAAGGTGGGTGTGGCTGGATAACCACACTTCTGGTAACATGGAGGTGCGGCCTAATGTGCTAATGAGCTGTGCTGTTAGGGGTGCGGTCTAATATGCTAATGAGTTTCTGCTGTTGGGTGTGGCTTATTATGCTAATGAGTTGGGCTTTTTATACAAAAAGAGCCCTGCATATAATTCCTCCATAATGAACGAAG